AAACAGGATGTGCTAGTTCAAGTTCTTATCATTGAAAATATTCTGTTATATTTTTCAGATACAGATGACATTGTTAGAAATTATAGAAGATCTGCAAAACCACCCATCAACGCTGCAGTAGCCAAACAATGTAAAAAGACTAGACTTTTATTATTGTATCTTAAATGTACTATATCATATCTTTCCCACATAATCAAGATATATTTTGCTAAAATAGCCCCCTGGTACTGGTTGTGACTCGTCCAGGTACCAACTGGTTGTGACTTGTCCAGGTACCAACTGGTTGTGACTTGTCCAGGTACCAACTGGTTGTGACTCGTCCAGGTACCAACTGGTTGTGGCTCGTCCAGGTACCAACTGGTTGTGGCTTTTCCAGGTAGCAACTGGTTGTGACTCCGTTGTCGTTGCTATAGATATATTCCTACTAGATATGTTTACTTTTCTTCATTTTTTTCATGTTTTCACTTTTTTATTCAGCATTTCACTTTTACTTTGTTAACTCTTCAGTTCTTTCATATTATCAACTTATTCATATTTTATATTTATTTATTTAGTTTTGTAGCAGCTTTCAACAAGTTGTAAAAACTAATATGAATTTCATGATGAAGGCATATATTATTTATGAAAGTTAAAACTGTATACTTGGCAAAGTCTCAGTTGAGAATTGTTTTTAAAGCCTTTTTCTTTCCTGTTGTCGGTCATTTATTTTCTATTTACCAAAAGGGTTCGCGATTATTATATTGTAAATTTGATGTAATACAAAATCAATTTGATATTTATATTTTATTAAAAAAATATTATAATCTGGGTTTCCTGTGTTGAATCATGACGTCATACTTACTAGTGCCCAGTGCTTCGAGGATTCCATTGCACAACATGGCGTCTAGAGRAACGTGCAATCGTATATGTCGGGTGTCTTTAGCAAAATAGAAGCTAGCTTTTGGTCGAATCCACTTTGAACTTTCATATGGTGAAAGCTACGAATCAAGAAGGTGTTTTGAATGGAGATATTGAGCAACATGGTAACATCGCCCACGGGGAATGGTATTTGAAAACTGGTTCTTCACGATCAAGTCGAGGTTCAACAAAACACCACCTCCACAATGATAACATTCCGGGTGCAATGGATATACTCACGTCCCTTACATCAGGTGCCATCGCAGGCGCTCTTGCAAAGACTGCGATTGCGCCGCTAGACAGAACGAAAATTATCTTTCAAAGTAAGTTACTTGCTTATATTCACGCTAGGGTTGTTGGATTATAGGTGTAGTGAGCTGACATGTGGGTTAGCTAGTTTTGTGTCATTTCCAATGCAGATGTAGCAAATTTTATTGAAAACTAGGAAGATATAATATTTTAGCKAGAAATAATTCTTATATGTATTTCTTATATATACTTATTCTCTAGTTTTGTCGTTTTTCGATACGTAGTAATTTTATACATAATAAATTACTTATTCACACATGAGTAGTGACTCTTTTTTACGACAAGATAATATATATTGTACTTGTTTTTTAATTAAAATATCTTCTTAATATTTCAGCTTCAAATACAAGATTTACATTGAAGGTGGGTTTACTTAGTTCCATATGAATCTATTGAGTCTGTTGGTTGTTTTCCTCACTACCTGGTGTTTTGAAAAATATATGGGACTTTGCCATGCATGCATAATTCAGAATAATTGTCATGAGATGATTCTGAAATTGTGCCAATATTTTAGAATTTGTTTTTGATACAGAGGTATTTAATTCTGTCAATTAGATTTGTCACATGACCAGAGCTATACCTTGACATAGAGATTATTATGTAAAAACCACAGGGAGTCTACAATCTTCTTAACATTATACACTAGCAAATCCTAACAAGATTAAAGAGTGCACTTCTTAAATTTCTTCCACTAAGTAATTATTACAAATTAATAATACATGAAAAGACAGATTTCTCAAGTATTGGTTGGGCTGCCTATGGTCTGACGGTTGTATTATTATTTCAATTCTGCATTTCATTGCCATTCACTATTCATATTCATTTGKTTTTGCTGTTTCAGGGTGTTGCAAGAGTTCTCTCAGATACCTATAAAAATAATGGTTTTACTGGGTTATTTCGTGGTAATAGTGCGACAATGGCAAGGGTCATTCCTTATGCATCAATTCAATTCTCTTCTCATGAACAGTATAAGAAAATTCTGAGAAATGGCGATGATAAAGGGTATGTATCATAATAGAAACACCTTGTAGGACAAGAAATAATAATGGCTGATAAGCAAGAAAGTGCAGTGTCTAGCAAAGCTCAAGTTTGACTGGCTTTAAACCTAAAGGAATGTCTTTTCAGTGGTCAAATGGAAATTTTGATTGTCTTCAGACAAACTCTTTCTATTTTCTCTGCATTGATAGAATATTGCATCATAAGTCTTTCCTCATTTCAAATTAATAGAAACTAAGTCCAACACTCATGTTTAATCTATTTCATATCAATTTCTGTTATCATGATGTTTATGTTATGGTCATTAAGTGACCGTTTTATTCCTAAATTGATATTGATGGCTTTATTTTAGGCCTTTACCTCCCTTGCGCCGGTTTATGGCAGGGTCATTGGCTGGCATAACTGCAGCATTGTTGACCTATCCACTTGATATGGTTCGTGCAAGATTAGCAATTACACAGAAGAAAAAGTAAGTACAACACAAGCTGTAGATGATTTCAAYTTAAAGAGCATGGCAGCTTAAATTGAAAACAATGAAACCCTTGAATATTACTATACAAATATTTCAAAGGAATTTCCATTTTAAGGTGCATTCAGTACTATTTGATTATAGTGAAAATTTGCAAAAAAAAGTATGCAAAATATAGCGTACATTAGATTGCTGTAATAGAAAATAAAGGAATTTGCATGACTTGGCAATTAATTTCCATTAGTTCACACCTTTCCTGTTTGCTTTCTATTTGAATTTTATACTTTAAAATGTTACTCTATAACTACTGTCTCTCCTACTTTCAGATATACTGGTCTTGTAAATGCATTTATCAGAATATATGAAGAAGAYGGTATCTTAACCTTCTACAGAGGCTATGTACCTACATTGATAGGGATTGTACCATATGCAGGCATAAGTTTTTTCACCTATGAAACATGTAAAAAAATGTACGGCGAATATTTTCTCGATGGTAGYATAACACCACTGCATAGACTGGCCTTTGGTGCTTGTGCTGGCTTGTTTGGACAATCTCTCACATATCCACTTGACATTGTCCGACGACGCATGCAAGCAGATGGAATGTATGGGGAACGGCGTAAAGAGTATGCTCATATATGGACCACAGCCAAATATGTTTATAAGACAGAGGGGTTGAAGAAAGGACTTTACAAGGGGTTYAGCATGAACTGGGTCAAGGGGCCCATTGCAGTTGGAATTAGTTTTACCGTATTTGACTTGATGCAGGCATTTTTTGATCACCATGTTCTGGACAAGACATAGCTGGCTTTTGTATTTTAGGTTACTTTTAAGTTACTGATTGCCAGCTGTCAATCTTAATCCACAATACACTCATGAATTCCACATTGATGAATTAATTTTTTAGAATAGCTAAATTTGATTGACAGCTGTCAACATTGTTATCTTCTATTATGTATGACATTTTTRGCACATATGTATCACTTATAACTCTGGAGAATAATAGTTTTTTTCTGTCTAGATTTGAATAATTTTTTTATGCTATGTATAATTTGCTGTACTCTGACGTTTTACCACAAAATCGTATGGCCATTAGAGCTTTAACTATGACTATGAAACAAAAGTCTACATAMTTACTYCCTAATAGTTCTTGTTTAGTGACTATTCATGACTATCATTCAACTGGAACATTCTATATYCWCTTGGGAAACCYAATACAAAYGAAACTATAKCTCATTAAAACTGTTCCAGTTGAGTGATAGCAACGCATAGTCACTAAATAAGAACTATTAGATAGTAACTATTTAGATTTTATTTTGTGGACATAGTCTAGTGTAAGCACTCTAGTTCACATTCTAGTTCATATTCATATCTTCTCATTTTAGCATTTTTGGTAAGGCTTGTAACTTCTAACAACATGTGATGTACAATGGCATCCAATGAAATTGTTGTGTCATTATCACACCCCCTGGATTGAAAATAGAACCACATGGCAAACRGTAGTATCAAATGTAGGATATTAAAATTGATGCCCTACTTGTCTGCTTCACTCGCTCATACTACTCATGGCATATCAAATCAAATCCTAATGATAAAACTTGCATCTGGGAACATTCATGTCATATCTATTTATTGACCTCAAAGTATATACTAGTTACTTTTACTCMTGAAAATAAGACGTTTTTGAAAGTGAGAAATATACTTGTTTCATAGTTGATTATATCAGATTATTATTATGGATATGTTAACAATGTTATTATCATTATTATATTTGTAGTAACCATAGTTTTGCACACAAGTTCCATGTATTTTAGAACATCTATCAACTAGAAAAAATGTATTCTATGTAAAGATGATGCATCTTAAATTGAAAATATTGTTATTTTAAAGTATTTTTATTACAAACATTTTTGCGTTATCATGAGATGTGGTGATCAAACAAAGAAAACTAAACGTCAGATAATTTGATTGGTGGAAGTGGACGATGGAAGTGGGTGAATATTGAGATGTGGTAATCATGTTGATCATTTTAATCGGTTGAAGTATGTAAATAACGACATGAGACTACAGGTTTAGCAATATTCTTGCCAACGCTCGATATTCTGGTTAATTGGTCATACACAATGAACACTCCATTTTTGAATTGTAAGCAAATAACCGTTGTTTTGTTTGACAGCAGATTCTCTTGCGAAAAGGCATTACCAAAAATGGAGTATTGAAAACAACAAAAAACTATGGTTTCAACTGGGCTCCATCTTCGTTTCTTTTGTGTGGGATTAGTCCAACGAAAGATCGTATGTGGGACAATCGAGAATACATCAAACGATATAAGACCGAATGCCGGTTGCCTTTGGCGTGCGTCAAAATTTTATTCTGTTAAATTGTCTTTTTTGATACAGTTTTCTATTTTAGTGCCAAATTGTGGTTCAAGGTAAAAAAGGTTGGGCATTTTCTGTGCCGTTATGCAGTGATTGTCACGTTTCTTTCGATAGCGTCTTGGATGCACTGCTATGGAAACGAGTTGTAAAACCACATGAGACGAAAAAATTATTCCATAATCGAGAGGTAACCCTTAGTTTCACCTTAGTTTAACCCTTAGTAAGTAGAATTTATAGAATTGTTTGAAACATAACGTAGTGTTTTCATTGCATATCGCATTTCACTTACAAGCTACTTACAGTTTTCATCAGAGTTGGGCCCAAAGTGCCAAATTTTACCCGTGGAATACTTACCTTTGTCAGTTACTTTAATTCAAAACTTCAGTCAAAGATATTCAAGAGTCTGTTTTATCAATTGTATTTCGTCATGTTCTTTCATATGTTGTCTGCGCATGCCACRAGGGAGCATGGCGAATTCCCCATGTTGTGAAAGCTATTAAAAAAAAAACCTTTTTTCCAGTAATTCAGTACAAACGCCTTTGTGAAGCAAGAAACTTTGAGTACAAAGAAGACGTTAGTGCGCCAGTGAGGCGCATYAAAGAGATTTCGAAACTGGAAAAACTTGAATGGAAAAATTGTTTTACAAATTGCATCCACCTGATTGATCAGACATTTTGGGCTTGTCTGTTCTGACAAGTAGTTGAAAGCGTCGCAAAGTTGCCCTTGACGTCTATTTTTGCATTGGTATACTACTCCTCTCTATTATTTTCMCACAGACATATACAGCAAATGTAACAAGGAGTTTTGAATGCTATGGCAGCAGAGAATAGTCAGAAACCTAGTTTGTTCATATGTAGGACTATAGCAATTTTTATATTAGGGACGTTTCTTCTTCGGTTRATCTTCTCATCAGTTTACTTAGAGCAGATTGGTATCTCTTCATTGTATTCTGGGATTATCTTAAGTACTGGCAGTCTGTCCCAAGCCATTGGTGGACTTTCGCTTGGGTATCTTGCGGATAAGGCTGATAAAAGAAACGCCATCCTAGCATTGTCTTATTTGGCGTATGCCATCACACCATTTTTGATCACACTTCCAAAACCAGTATACAAATGCGCGGAAAAGCCATTGATTAAATATCGAAAAACTGCGAGCTCGATCAAACAAAATGAGAAAAAGGGTGCAACGATAAATTTATCCAGGTTGCCTGCAGGACCATACCTTGAGCCACCTTTTCAAAATATTATGAAAGATCCAACGGATGAACGAAATGGATTTCAATATCTTAATGAAAGCTCTAGACAAGTTAGACTGGAATATCAAAGCGACAAACAAGGGTTTAAGGGGAAGAGGAAGATATTCGAAACGAACGATTCCAAAGCTCTTGTTCTTAAATTAACTGAAATGCCAAATGTTGGTAAAGGGAACTCTCGAGTTATTTCTAACAACATTGGAACTCAAGACCTTAACATCACAAATGWTTCGAGAAAACACCAAGAGAATAGAGAGACGTTCTTTTATCTGTTGCTAATCATGGTCACAGGAGACTTTCTTGGAGGAGCTACAATCAATCTTTTCGATGCTCTGATCGTTTCAACAATTGATGACAAAAAGGAATATGGTAAAATTCGCATGTGGGGCAACATTGGTCAAGCAGTTACCATCCCTTTAACTGCAATAATCACATATTTCAAGAAGGTTGAAATCTGCGGCATTCCTCAAAGTGATTTCAAAATTGCTCTCTACATCACATCGGCAATCTCAGGAGTTGGATGTTTTTTTGCCATGTTTAAAGTTCGTATGCCATCATCAAAAATAAAAGACGATAAAGAAAAAAGCACAAACACTGCTGCTTCCTMTAAGGAACTTATCGCACCAATTGAAACGTGGAGTCTTCTAACAATGTCTTTGTTTTTTGGTATCTTCATTTCTTCATTGTCGAGTTTTCTCTTCTGGACAATGGTAGAGCTAAATCCATCCCAAGCAAACTTTTCAGTAGCTGTCGCCAATTTCCTCAAAAATCTCGCGGGCCTTTTAGTGTACAATTTCGCTCCCAAAATTCTTCATGCGATTGGCTACAGAAATGCACTGAGTTGTTCATGTTTGGTATTTGCTGCAAGCTTTGCTACAGCATCTTTAATGTTTACCCCTTGGCTTGGTGCCGTTGTGGAAGTCCTTGCAAGTGTAGCAATTTCTATGGGCATGTCTGCTTGTGTGTCGCATCTTGGAGAAGTGGCCCATCCTTCCATAGCTGTCACCGCACAAGGTTTGTATTTGGGTTTAAGATGTAGCAGTACGAGACATATATAACCAGAAACCTATAAGGGACTTGAAACGTGTAGCGCCCGTGCATTTCTTTAGTACCAAGCGTTGGAATATTCAAAGCTCATTAAAAATTCGAACACGAACGTTATGACCATATTTGGAAAATTCCGCCGTTAGTTAAGAGATTTAAGGCCCGTTCTGTTAGCTAGAGTAAATTAAATTGTTCCAAATAAGGAAATGAGATGCAAATTCGATTTGAATATTCCAACGGATGGCACGGCGCTACACGTTTCAAGTCCKTTATAGGTTTCTGATATAATATATATAATCTACATTGTGTTTGCTATCATATGATCAATTTCTCTTTCAGGTCTTTTACATTTCTTGATAAGCGGCGCCGGTCCGGCCCTAGGACCATTCTTGGCTGGATTACTTTTACATATTACCAACCAAACCATCACCTATCTCATCTTTTGTGGAATTAGCATCGCTGTCATGGTATTTTCAATCCTAGTACAATGGATTATGAAGATGCGCGAAACTCGTTACCAAAGGCTTGCAACGAATGAATAGCTAGAAATATAAGTTGTGGTTATAATTTATTATGGAATATGAATAAACCCTTACATTTATGAGTTCCATGGACCGCTTGTGCCAAGGATTGACCGGGTACGGTTCAAATTACAATGTGAGCAAATGTAGAAGCAGTGAGCAGAAGCTCTGCTCTGCTCTGCTCTGCTCTGCTCTGCTCTGCTCTGCTCTGCTCTGCTCTGCTCTGCTCTGCTCTGCTCAAAAGTCAAACGTCGAACTTTATTCTGTTATTTTTTTTTATGATACAGCTTTCTCTTTAGGCTGCGTTACATCCGGTTTATTTCGCCAAAATAACCGTATGTGAATTATCGCAAAAATTCGTGTTAGAAGCTCGAACTAGTCCTACTCGGAACATTGAATGTTTTGGGTCATTCGAACGAGGGATTTTAGTTCTTTTAGTGCTCTTCCATATGGCGTTTGCGATCTGTTTATATAAGTTCCTCGTACCAACATCTTACTGAGTGACTTAAGATCATCGGTTTAATTCCGGGATGAGTGTTTTGATGTCCACTGGACTCTCACGTTAACGTTCGCTTTCTTGACCGATATGCAGATTAATTTGCCGTTCTGYTAGTGTTTATACTTGTCTTATTCTTTATTAACGAGAAGAGCAACCGAAGAATATTTGTTTCGTCTGTTCAGCGATCTTTACCGTTATTCTGATTACAGAGTCTTTTATTCTTTTGCTTGTTATATTATCGAGCGGCGAAGCGGCGAGACTTTTCCGTTAATCGGTTTGTTGTTTTGCATAAAAACAACGTCTCAACGCTTCGAGATCACATAGTTCGAGCTTCTTAGCGAATAAGAACGCATGTAAGATTGAGTTGATACAGCAGCCAATGAGAGAGCCTGTAATATATAACCATCCAACTCTGCTGGTGGTCTAGAACACGAATTCCTGCGATAATGCGCAGACGGTTCTTTTGGCAAATACCGGATGTAACGCAGGCTACTTTCTCTTTTAATGGAAAATTGTAGTTCAAAGTAAAAAAGGCTGGACATTTTCTGTGCCATGATGCGGTGATTGCCACGTTTCTTTCGATAGTGTTTTGCGTATATTGCTATGGAAACGAGTTGTAAAACCAAATGGCAAAAAAAAAAATTATTCTGTAAACAAGATGTAAAAAGGCTGGACATTTCCTGTGCCATGATGCGGTGATTGCCACGTTTCTTTCGATAGTGTTTTGCGTGTACTGCTATGGAAACGAGTTGTAAAACCAAATGCCAAAAAAAAATTATTCTGTAAACAAGATGTAAAAAGGCTGGACATTTCCTGTGCCATGATGCGGTGATTGCCACGTTTCTTTCGATAGTGTTTTGCGTGTACTGCTATGGAAACGAGTTGTAAAACCAAATGACAAAAAAAAATTATTCTGTAAACAAGATGTAACCCTTAGTTTCTGTAGAATTCATAGAATTGTTTGAAACATATCGTGGTTGTTTCACTGCATGACGCATTTACCGAACACATGGTTTTCAGCAGAGTTGGGATCAAAGTGCCAAATTTTACTCGTGGACCACGTAGCTTTGTAATTAATTTTTGAAACTTCAGCCAAAGATATTTAAGAGTCGTTTGTAACAGCAAGGTAGTGTTTGTTTTATAAATTGTATTTTATCATGTTCTTTCATATGTAGATTGCCACTAGAAAAGCATGGCGAATCCCCAACTAGGTGAAAGCTCTTATCAAGATACAATGAGCATTTTATCTATGGACCAGGATACGCCATTGTCAAGCGTTTAGTTACTGAAAACGTTTCTTTCAGTATTCAGCAAAAAAAAAAAACCATTGTGAAGCAAGCAACTTTGTGTACAAAGAAGAAAAGATTTTCGAAACTAGAGTTAAGAAAGAATGGAATTTAAAAATTGGTGTATGTCACGAATTGTATGCGTCTGATTGGTCAGGCATRCCGTGTCTTGTKAGTTGTACAAGTAGTTGAAKGCGKKRTTTSTTTGCCATTGGKTCCAACTTTGCAAGWCGAATACGGTATACTATTGATCTCTCTTATTCTCACACAGATATATACAGCACATGTAACAAGGKGTTTTGAATGCTATGGCAGCAGWGAATAGTCAGAAACCTAGCCTGTTCATATGTAGGACTATGGCAGTGTTTATAGTAGGGACTTTTCTTCTTCGGTTCATCTTCTCATCAGTTTACTTACAGCAGATTGGTCTCTCTTCATTGTATTCGGGGATTATCCTAAGTACTTCCAGACTGGCCCAAGCCATTGGTGGACTCTCTCTRGGGTATCTTGCGGATAAGGCTGATAAAAGAGACGCTATCCTAGCAATGTCATATTTGGCGTATGCCATCACACCATTGTTGATCACACTTCCAAAACCAGTATACAAATGTACTGAAAAGCCATTGATTAATTATCGAAAAAGTAACTTGACCAGGCAAAAGGAGAAAAAGGGTGCAACGATAAATCTATCCAGGCTGCCTGCAGAACGATACCCAGAACCACGTTTTCAAAAAAATATGAAGGGTTCCACCGATGATCAAAATCTTGATGAAATATCAAAACAAACGAGAGGCGAATATCCAAACGACAGACAAGTGCTAATGGAAAAGAGGAAAATATTCGAAAGGAATAAAACAATCTTCCTTCCAGTGTTTCAGGACAATTCCACAGCCCGCGTTCTTAACGTGACTAACAATATTGGTACTCAAAACATTAACATAACAAATGTTTCGAGAAAACATCAAGAGAACAGAGTGACGTTCTTTTATCTGTTGCTAATCATGGTCACWGGAGACTTTCTTGGAGGAGCTACAATCAATCTTTTCGATGCTCTGGTCGTTTCAACAATTGATGACAAAAAGGAATATGCTAAAATTCGCATGTGGGGCAACTTTGCTCAAGCATTTATCATCCCCTTAACTGCAATAATCACATATTTCAAGAAGGTTGAAATCTGCGGCATTTCTCAAAGTGACTTTAAAATTGCTCTCTACATCACATCGGCAATCTCAGGAGTTGGATGGTTTTTTGCCATGTTTAAAGTTCGTATGCCATCKTCAAAAATAAAAGACGATAAAGAAAAAAGCACAAACACTGCTGCTTCCTTTAAGGAACTTATCGCACCAATTGAAACGTGGAGTCTTCTAACAATGTCTTTGTTTTTTGGTATCTTCATTTCTTCATTGTCGAGTTTTCTCTTCTGGACAATGGTAGAGCTAAATCCATCCCAAGCAAACTTGTCAATAGCTGTCGCCAATTTCCTCAAAAATCTCGCGGCACTTTTAGTGTACAATTTCGTTCCCACAATACTTCATGCGATTGGCTACAGAAATGCACTGAACTGTTCGTGTTTGGCTTTTGCTGCAAGCTTTGCTACAGCATCTTTAATGTTTACCCCTTGGCTTGGTGTCGTAGTAGAAGTCCTTGCAAGTATTGCATTTTGTATGGCCATGTCTGCTTGTGTGTCGTATCTTGGAGAAGTGGCCCATCCTTCCATAGCTGTCACCGCACAAGGTTTGTATTTGATTTAAGATATAGCAGTGCGAGCTATAAATTATATATATATATACATTGTGTTTGCTATCATATGATTAATTTCTCTTTCAGGTCTTTTACATTTCTTGTTTAGCGGTGCCGGTCCAGCCCTAGGACCATTCTTGGCTGGATTACTTCTACATATTTCCAACCAAACCATCACCTATGTCATATTTTGTGGAATTAGCATCGCTGTCATGGTATTTTCAATCGTAGTGCAATGGATTATGAAGATGCGTGAAACTCGTTACCAAAGGCTTGCGACGAGTGGACAGAATTTAAGTAGCTAGAAATACAGCATAAGTAAAGATATGGTTATATATATGGACATTTATGGGTTCTGTTGTGTTTTGTTCTTTTCTCATACTGTTCAGTTTTGCTCTGCTCTGCTCTTTCCTTTGCTTTGATCTGCTCTGCCTTTTGTTCTGCTCTGCCCTTTGTTCTGCTTTGCCCTGTTTTGCCCTCTGATTTGCTCTGCAACATAACTAGTGGTCAAAAAGGTCAAAAATGGTTTTTAGTTGCAGACAGAAAACTACGAACACTTGAGTCAAAACGTTAACATCACTGGTAAACCCTTGAATAACCTTAGTTATTATGATAGCTCTAAATTGTATACCGAATTATACAAATCTACACTTTATTGCGCTATTTAGCACTGTATAGTACTTTAGTGTTTGTCTAAACTGGTCACTTATCGGGGTCACCTGGTCTTACCGAGGGTCACCTGATRTGCGACCATGTCATCTTGGATTGTCTCGCTTAAATTTACAAGTGTATTTTTGCAATTTAAATCAACGTGAAAGAGCTATTAATACGTTCAATAAGTGTTATGTAAGACATTCTTATTGATGGTTCACCTGTCTGTCATGATTGTAAAAAATGCTTCATGTATTGCTGGTACATGGCGGATGGGGTCAGGGATCGAAATTCAAGTCAAAACCGGTGAATTATAGATAACATGCAACAGGTGATAAAAGCAAAACTTTTACTCTGACCTGCGATAAATACAATGTTTTGATGATTTTCTAAATATTGCCACTTAAAGCAATAAATAACCGGTAACTTTATTTCCTTGAGCACGCTGTTATTCTTCAGAATTTCAGTCAGTTGAACGATTTGTGTTTTGAATTTGGTTGATAAGTATTACATCTTCTTTCATGTTTATTCTCGGATTGGCATCATGTTGTAGAAATCTTTGGAAGCATAGAACATGCTATGTTCATGGCTGCTTAAGAGAAGTGTCCCATCATTCCATATATGTCAACACACATTGTATAAGGTCAGTATATATAAGTAAGAGGTGGGGATGGGCATTTTGGTTTTCAGACTTCACATTCTATTTAAATGCATAAAGCTAGATGAGTAACGACTTTTTAATTACCTCGAATCTTTGAAAATGTGCAAAATTCAAATGCTTGGAATCCATCAATTTTTGATTGACTGCAGCTGGAAATGACCGTAAAAACATCGATGGAAAACACAAACACATGRACTGACCTGGACATGTACATGTACCAGCTATAGATGAACTTCATCTTTGTCAAATGTACCTCGATTGACAATATGACAGTAGCTGGCAAAGCATTTACCATTTACAACTTTTTTTGATAGTGATTACATTGRACATTTTCTTGTTTGTGTGATTTTCTAAAGGAGTTTTGTAATTTGGAATACCAAWTCAAAGCAATGTATGTTTTTGAGAAGACAAACTCAATCAAACTTGAACATTACATGTGAAGAGATTATATGGAGGATATTATATGGGAGCGCATGGAGAAACGTGTTAGAAAAGATCTCTCACGAATGAACGTAGAGCATAGGTGACTTTTATTGACCTCCAATATATAGAGCTACCACGAATGTTTTGCTTTCAATAAGCCGGGAAAATAACAATTTTTCTTAAATGCAGAGAAGTATAGGTATTTCGTGCATAATAATGTTACAGCCTTTTGCAAAAATTATGAGAATTGTCGAAATATCTAAATATCATAATATCGAGTGCATGATGGGTAATCCCGCGCGATGCCCTTAGTCCCTTGTCTTCGTAGTTTAGTGTTTTTTTGGCGACAGACTTATCCGTAGCTCTGAACATTTTCTCGATGTCAACAATGAATTATTCTAGCAAACCCACGTGTTCCGGACAATATATGGATATGGATATTATGATATTTAGATATTTAGAAAATTCTCATAATTTTTGCAAAAGGCTGTATGAAAAATATAGTACATAATATTGCAAAGAGATCCACAATGAAAATCTTTGTTTTTGCTGCATGAATCTCAAAATTCTCAGCAGTCAAAGAAAGCAAAAKGAAACCGAAACATGGTTCATTTTCTGTTGCCGTCTTAGCTTGTCTTCAGCACATATATTATMAATTGACTTAAGTTGTCGTTTGCTATGCCAATATATAGCATGAATATCCCGAATCAGTTAATTGTTGTCTTTGCTTAGATATAGAAATGGAACTGGGGACATCGTTGGAGGTTTATTTTTGTTTTTTGTCACGTTTTTTTTAGGAACTATGATACAAATAATGCATGCATACGTCTTTTTGAATTCGACTACACATAGCGACAATCCTCCAAATGCATGTACTTACTTTTGGGACAAAAGCGCGTGCAAGGACTCCACGGAAGTTTAGGTGTAAACTGAATTTTTTTTCTTTATAAATGAATTTCATTTTATATTTACGATGAATTTTTTTATATGCTCTTTGGTTCCTCTTCAGTAAAATTGTTCATGTRACTGCAAATTAAACTTAGTATGTTGATAGAGCGGATTTCGTATGAGTGGGAAACGGACGGTACTGTACTGTGACCGTAACCGTACTGTATCCAAATTATAGTGCCCCATTGGTTCACAAAAATTGTGCAGGCCAGGTCCGGTAACTGTGRGATAACGGTGTCCCACTCATACGAAATCCGCTCTATAACCCCTATAGTGCAGGGTTGGGGGTGCTAGCATTATTCATGGCAACTCTATGATCACTGGATTCTTTCGACCCATTTTCTTTTTCTTTACTGATCTTCTTCTAATTCTCTCACAGTTTCTACAGCACACGTAACAAGCGTTTTACAATATCATGGCGGAGAATGGAAAGAGGACGAGCATATTTATGTGTAAAGCTATGTTAGTCTTCACTGTCGGGACATTTCTTCTTCGGTTCATTTTCTCATCTGTTTACTTCAAGCAAATTGGTCTGTGTCCATCGTACTCGGGGATTATTCTAGGTGCTTCCCGTTTTGCTCAAGGCATTGGTGGGCTCTRGTTTGGTTATCTAGCTGACAAGGRAGATATAAGGAACTTTATTCTATTATTTACCTACCTGGCGTATGCCATTACACCATATCTACTCACTCTTCCACAACCTATGAACAGATGCACTGTGAAGCCACTGGTTAAAAATAAGAAAAGAAGCTTTGATAGATTCAGTTTAATTCAAATACAAGAAGTAAATAGCACTATAGCAAATCCTTCTGGACTGGTTGACTTAAAAACGAAGCAGRACTCTACTGAGGATCAAAAAAGGCCAACTTTTAGAGACATGAAACGCCACCATGGAAGTAGCAAGAAAGTGCGCAGTGAAATGGTTGCTCTTCACTCAAAGCCCACCTCAAACAGTAAGTTTCGCAGAAATATTGAGAACTCCTCACGCCWAAKTTTACAACACAACAATTACAACGTTCAAGCWGCAGATTTGGAAATAGCAAAAATCAATAATGGTGACAATATTATTTCAAAGAAAAGGTCATTTAGTAATTTCACTGGTGACACTGGGAAAGATTTCCCTCGGTTCGATAGCAGAAACGTCGCTTCCTCGAAACTACCAGAAACTTACAGCGAACGGACACTCTTTTACTTATTGCTAGGRATTGTCATCACAGGGGACTTTCTGGGAGGCGCTACWATAAATTTTTTCGACACCRTYGTCGTTTCAACAGTTGATGACAAGAAGGAATATGGTAAAATTCGCATGTGGGGTAACATTGGTCAAGCAGTTACCATCCCTTTAACTGCAATAATCACATATTTCAAACAGGTTGAAATTTGCGGMGTTTCTCAAAGRGACTACAAAGTTTCTCTGTACATTACATCGATAATCTCAGGAGTMGGGTGGATTGTTGCATTGTTCAAAGTCCGTATGCCCTCGTCGAAAGTCGATGCCGACGATGACCATGAGGAAGATGACTACACAGCTGTCTCCGTTGCAGAACTTATCGCACCAATCGGGACTTGGAGCATTCTCGTGATGGTAATTTTCTTCGGTATMTTTTCAAGCTCACTGTCTGGATTCCTCTTCTGGACAATGGTAGACCTGAATCCATCTCAAGCAAACCTGTCAATAGCTGTTGCCAATTTTTGCAGAAATCTCGCGGCACTTTTTATCTATTTCTTTGCCCCAACGATTCTACATGGAATTGGCTACAGAAATGCACTGAGTTTCTCCTGTTTGGGATTTGCTGCTAGTTATGTTACAGCATCTATGATGTTTACTCCATGGCTTGGTGTTATAGTAGAAATTCTTGCAAGCATAGCATATGCTATGTCCCAGGCTGCTTGTATATCTTATTTTGGAGAYGTCGCGCACCATTCCATAGCAGTAACAGCACAAGGTATGTGTGAAGATCTGTTTTTGTATTATACTACTTCATAATATTTGCTTGTTTMCAGGTGTTGGACCTGTTAGACTCGATCGTTATAATCATACCTCAAAGCTRTGAGCCGCATAYRAGTRCCTTCATGCTCTAGAAATATTGTTTTTAAGGGGTTCCAGCATTCGAAATTTGTGCACTTTTGTCCGAATTTTCCGTTGTTTTCAAAGTTTCGCATCTTTGTTTCGAAATATTTCCACTGTTATTAATAAATAACTTTTCTTCCAGGGCTGCTTCGTCTCCTGTACACTGGTGTGGGTTCAGCCATAGGACCAGCATTTTCGGGATTTCTAATCGATATCACCAGTCCAACTTCCACTTTTCTCATCTTTTCTGGTATGAGCATCGTGGTCATGTTATTTTCAATTGCAGTGCAATGGATTATAAAYATACGTGAKAMTCGGTACCAAAAGCTTCCCATGGACGAAGAGAAGATTAGTAATAAATAACAGTTCACTGTCTTAATTAACATTGAATAAATCTTATTATTACTTTTATATAGAAAAGTATCGTCCATCGATTACAAACATTGAGACATAATGACGAGCCATTTGCCAAGACTGGAACTACTTCTCAAAGACGGGGACAGACGTTTGTCCTTTGCTCCTACTCTTAAGGGAGGGGAGGGGGATTTGACACACTTTCGGATACTATCACATTCTCCTGTTCTTTAATTTACTACATATAATCCTTTTTTTTTGAGAAAGACATTTTATTTACCTCTCCTTTTGACAAAGAACTTTCAAGACTTTGTCAGCTTCTTCAGGAAAAATATCCAGAACTGCATCTAAAATGTCAGACTGAATAACTTTCTGCCCTTTTCGCAGACAGTTGTACTTGAATGGAATAAACTGGCACAAGTCTGCTTTCTTTCGCATTCGTTGGACGAAGGCCTTGATGCAATAAAGATCAAGTTGTCTTGCACTGGAAGATGGCGTGCACTGGTACACTAATATAGAAAAAAGAAATCTTTGTAAACTGCAACGGTTTTTTGTAACGGRATGCGATGAAGAAACAAGAATATTAAGTGCACTTTAGAGTGTCGTTGGAGTGAAGCTTCCATACTTACCTAGTCGATCGTACTTCCTCATCCAGCGMGCATTTCCACTCCCTGTGGATGAACAATCATTGATCTTCAATCTGTAGAGTTTAGGACACACTTGTACGCATTTGACATTTTGTTCACTATTTTTTTTAGTCTTCAGCAATCTGTGGGGAGCACAAATCAGGTCACCCTAACWACCCCGGGCTTGTTCTTTCCATAAATTCCCACAACATAGTTACTATGCCCACACGATGCCACGGTATAAATAACACCTTTGAACGAATACCGGCCATTCTGACGCAAAACTGCAGACCGCCGACATCGCAGGCGAGAACATACCTGATGAGAGCTTTTTTAACAATGGGTAGTACCCAGGCCACCTGCAAACGCCATTCTGTCGGTCAAACCGTACATATGATATTACGGCTCGACCAAGGGACGCTAACAAACCCCCCGGACAGGTCTTCAAGAACTTGTCTGCACACAACGCTAGTTCCTTAGAACAACACAAGTATATTCATTAGATGATCTTGAACATGATATCTTGAACATGCAGCGTTTTTATATATTTCCTTTTTTCTTAAGTATTTGGTCCAACATTTTGTATAGATACTTTGACAACTTTTGAAAAAGTATTGGGTGGGAGGTGCTTTATATACCTTGTCTAGCCTACAGTGTAGTTGCCTTTCATTGTAGCGCGAATATGACTGGTTTTGAAAGCCTTGGATGTAAGCTGACAAGCATGTATTCACGGCGAGGATTTGACATGGCTTGTTTGTCAAATCAGCCAAGGTAATAAATGCAGATATAGTTAACAGTATCAGTATATAAGGACCAGTCATTTTGGCCCTTAAACAACCTAAAAATATATAAATTATGCTGTGAGTAAATAAGAAACCT